GATAAGGTCTCCCCTCAGCCTCCTCTTCTCTAGACTAAACAGCCCCAGCTCCCTCAGCTGCTCCTCATAAGACTTATTAATCTGAGAGGCAATAAAAGTAGCACTATAAACTAAAATACCACTTCAAACTGTGTGATTACTTGAATCTCCTGGAAGGTCCATAGTGGGTTTTGTGTATGCTGATACAGTATCACAAGTTCCGGATTGGAAGAGCACAGAGTTGTAAGCGTTCACACAGCATTTATTCCAGGGGAGGAGGAGTTGGAGGCGGGTAGTAAATCCTAGATTTCTTTCTTCATGTAGTCCATGATGTTTGTGTTCACTGTGGATATACGTATAACCTGTTACTTGGAGAAAGAGAGCACAGTTGTGGTTTCTTCTTAAATAAGTATAGGACAGGCATTAATACTTCATCCTCTGTGGCGCTCAGCAAGTGGGCAGATGGAGAGAAGCATGCCTCTAAGAGCATTTTTTCTTTTTTGTATGAATTTTCAGCTGTTTAACTAGTTTTTCTTTGATTCAGGTATGTCCCTTAAGTAACCTTTAGTTCTTTTATGACTCAGGAAGGGTGAATTCTATCTAAAACATGTACATGATGTCTTTATAGCTTTGGGGGACATATTTCTGATAAGCTATTAATTTATCATTCTTTGAACTTGGCATGTGACATCCTCAGGAACTTTAAACAGTAAAATTATTTAAGGTGATAAAACTGTTTTGCTATCATGAATGAGTTGGGCCACTCTGCACCAGTGCCATTATGCTCTGTGGCTGTTCTCTGACAATGTTCACCTCAAGTAGATGGAGACTACTCTCTCCCGCACCACTTTCTTCTTGGAGGAGTAAAGATTTGGTGATTGGGAAGGCCATTACAGAGACTCACAAGATATTCATGTTTCTGTTTTGGCATCAGTTCAGCCTTCTGTAGCAACACCATGCTAAATGAAAGTCAAAACAAGGCATGCATAACCCTCTTTGCCCTTGGTGCTGGCCTGAAATATTACCTTGTCCACAACAATCATGATATATACTTCAGCCCCAGAACTACCAGTTTCACCATTTCTTTACGGAGCAATAACAACTCTGGTGCCCTTAAACTTTTTACTTCTGTTTCTGAGAATGTTGTAGCCAGTATGATGATAGATTGGCACCAGGACTTGACATCAGTATTTCTGACTTAGTACTATTCAGTACTATCACTATTCAATACTTCAGTACTATTTAGATACTGAGGTAGATTAAGGGACACTCTACCTCTTTTTCAGTTGCCAACTACCAGAAATAAGTCATTGAAACTCATAAAATTATAATTTTATTGAAGTCTTTTTTCAGCATAAAGCTTCACCAACTTACATTAAACATAAGTGTAGAGTTTTTTTGTTCAGGTAACTTGACAGAAGAGAGTTAAAATGAAATCGTAAATATGTGTACATAGGTTAAATACTTACCTTGAAGTTCATGTTAAAGTGTTCTTTTTAATGCCTTTTATAGCTGGCAACCATACAACAATCTCTCAGTTTGTTGCAAAAAGATAAAGATTATCTTAATCGCCAGAACATGGAGCTTAGTGTTCGCTGTGCACATGAAGAAGATCGTCTTGAAAGACTTCAGATTCAGCTAGAGGATGCCAAAAAAGCTAGGGAAGAAATGTATGAAAAATACGTTGCATCCAGGTAAGTTAATGTGTGTTCACTTCTATCAATAGACAAGTTATTGAACTATATTCCTTTGTTTCTTGCACAAATCCTGTTTAATTAAAAATAATTTTAACTTTCAGAAAGCTAGTCCATATTTGTGTAACTAGAAACAGAACACTTTTGTTGAGTCTCAATGTGTATCAGCAAATTATTATTTTTTTTAAACCTTTGATATAAGACCATAGTAGTGAAGACATCAGCATTGAAAGTTTATGGCAACTGTTCTCTTAGGTGTATATAGAAATTTATGGAGGTAACTATAATTATTTACAAAAGAGAGGAAAACTCTTTGAAGTGCATGTGTTACATATCTTACTCCCTACCCACCCACCCGAAATGACCTTTATTAAAAACAGGAGCATCTGAAAGACAATCTGAACGATTATTGCAGAATAAAATAAATATATTTAATTTTCACAAATGTTTAAAATAGGACATTGCATGTTTCTTATCAACTATTAGAGCTATCAGTCTTTCATATCTCAAGTTTGAATACAGATTCTCTAAATGTAGCCTTGAGAATTAGATTGATCACTGTATGCTAGCCAGAGTGGTAAATAGTGTCAAATCCTGATGTTACTTGAATTGATATACATATATGTATGACATGTTGAATAGGAAACACTACGCTATTCAGATACATATCTTGCTACATATGTAATGCTCTACAACAAAATTTCATAGAATCATAGAATATCTCAAGCTGGAAGGGACCCATAAGGAGCATCGAGTCCACCTCTCTGCTCTTTGCAGGACTATCTAAAAGTAAATCACATGACTAAGAGCGTTGTCCAATTTCAAACCACATTTAGATTTTTCTAATTCAGAATTCAAGGTTATCCGGTTCATGTTATTTCCCTACGTTTAGATGCCAAAAAATATCATTTCAGTATATATTCCCAAAATAACATCAAGTATTTGCCTGTATGTACTTCACTAATGAACATAAAACTATTGGTTTGGTTAGTACTGTCCTTAATAAGAAAAAAACAAAAACAAACTGTGAATTGAATGAATAAGCTTAGAGCATGAAGTAGGTTCAGCTTCTCTTCAGCTGCTTCCTTTGGTTTGAATCAAGAAGATGGAACTGCAAACAGCATCTATGAATTTTGTGTCCTTGTATAACTACCATGAAGTGTGCTAATATGACTCTCCTGTAATACAACTAAAAGACAAATTGTTATCTAAATGGAAATAATAATATGGAGTTCTAGCCAATATCAGCAGTGTTTTTAATGCTGTTTTTCCTTTCAGTGCAGTCACTTAAACTTTTTTTTAATTTGTTTTACATGTGTATATCTCAGAACTATGTTCACCTGGAACTTTGCATTTTAAATAAATTTTTAAGACTTGTTTTTACATGGGGTTTTAAAGACGTAGGTCTGAGCAGTCTTTCTCTACAAATGTGCTTGTAAACAGTGACTCCTGTAGCTAGATTCCTACTTCTAGAAAAACACTGTGAAATCCTTATCCTGTAACAATGATATAGAGGCACTTTTACAGAGCTGTCTCCATTTGGGGAACCCAGAAAGAGACGTGTAGCTTGCCTCTACCACAGTTTGGGATACTGTGCAAGCCTGCTTCACTGTCTGCTGGAATATCAGAGGTCTCTGTCTTCTGCATTTTGATACCAACTAAAGAGAAATTCTGTGACTCTTACTTTGCTGTTAGAGGTCTCGATACTGTCATTGGGATTCTGTACTGTTACCAAATCTCTCTCTTGACATCATTGGTATTGGTGACTCTTTTCATGATGATAATTTTCATAGGACAGATATTAACTGTAATGAATAATGCAGGTATGTCTGCTCTCCTCTAGTGACCATTATTGTCTTTTGCAGCGATAATACAGCATAGCAGAGAAGACAGTGTAGTGTATTGAGCAGCATGTGTAGGACTGCACTGCAGCTTGGGCAGTCTAGGTTTTATTCAAGGTTCCACTGCTGACCTGCTGATGAACTTTGAATAAGTCATTTCATAATGTAAAAATGTAATGTAAAATGTAAAAATGTTCATGAAAGGTTTCTTTTGTAAAATGGAGGTAATGGTATCCTTTTGTAAAGTGCTTTAAAACCTGCATGTGATCTGCAGTATTGCAGAAGCTGTTCCTTCTTTATATTTTCTCACATACATGTACAGGAATCCTGTCTATTCAGCAATTTAAACCATCCATCTCTTAGGTCAAATATGTACGGTATTAGGTTTCTTATAGAGACCTCTACAGAATCCAATTTTTTTGTTAGGTAAATTAGAGGGGTACAAAAGTAGAGCAGGAGAAAACTATACCAACTAATGGACACTCTACAGTCCTCAGTGCTACCTGGAGGTGACATCAGTTTGGGTAATAAGCTTCTATTTGCTACCTTTTGAAGAATTTGAGGCTTTTTAATGCTTGCTTCACATCTGGATCTCTTTTGGTTGCTGTAGTTCAGGAATGAAGATGATGAAAACAAACCCAAGTATCTATTTTCAGGAATAAAGAATAATTCACTTTCTGGTCACCATCAGAACTGCTGGCATTGGGGTACTGCAGTTAGGAAATTACACACCTTAGGAAACTGAGGGCTTAACTTGCCAATTAAAAAGGCACGCTTCAAAATAGGTTGAGATTGTGGGAAGATGAATGGCAGCAGCTCATAGCTATAGTTCTTGGGAATCTATGTGTAAGCACAGACCAACACAAAAGATTTCCCTTTATATGTTTTAATCTTAAAACACAATCCATAGTTGCATTGAGATGCTTAGATCATTTAGTTTCTTTGCAGTATAAAGCCTTATGAATAATAGGCCTGGAAAGAAGTTCATTAAAGCCTGCAGCCTGAAGAAAACAAAACAACTTGATAAGGCAAAAACATTTTTAATTACTGCTCAAGCAAAAGACTATAACAGTAGGTCAGGAATAAAAATCACAGATGATGGTTCTTTGCTTCAGCAGCAATTCATTTGCTGTTTATTAAAAGGCATTGGCAGGGCAGTCAAGCTGTATACTCGGAATATGCCTTTTACTATACCATTTGTTTATTTTAGTCATCATAAAGATAAGTGTCACTTTGAACTGTCTTCTGGTGCCATCACTGTGGGTGTTCAAGACTTTTCCAAATTGCTCTAATTTTTTCAGTGAACCTTCCTGACTTTTAGCAGTCTTGCCGTGGGAAAGAACATGTAATTTCTGCAGTGACAGCAGTTTCTTTTTGGCACGTAGTAATGGTAATAGCAAATTATCCAAGTACCAAGAAAAGGGTAATGCTTATTGATTCTGAACTTCAGAATTGTATCCTGAGGTCCTGATTGTCAGCATTCTCTTTTTTTTTTTTCCTACGTATGGAGCCACATAATGTGTAAAGAACACAAAAAGTTTATAATGGGGACCTTACATTCCACTACTGTGTTTTATTTGTTCTTGTTGGTTTTTTATTATAAACTTCTTCATTGTATCAAAGATCTTCGTAAATATTTTGCTGTAGTGTGGTGCAGTTGAGGAAGGAGAGGAGATAAATTTACTTTTACCTTGTAGGGTCAACTGAAATTCAGTGTCTCAATAAAAAGAAAACAGGAAAACCTGGACAGCAAGCATTCTGACATTTAAATATTTTGGGCCTTTTAGTTAATGTGAAGGAGGTTTTGGCCAGCTGAAGTGCTAATTTCTAAAGTTAGAAGCTATCGCATAATTGGAAGTTGGAAGAAATCTAAGACCTTTTACAGTTGTAAATGCACATTTCTTCATAAACATGTACCTTCTAGCAGTTCCTCATTGCTGATTGATTAGTCTTGAACATTAACTAGGTGCTATAAAATTTTGACATTCCTTAGCTGTTAAGTACTTACAACATAAGTCTTTTTTTGTAGTTTTGTAGGAGAAATTCTTTGTGGGATTCCCTACAATCTGTCATGGGCTTCCAAAGTTACAAAAAGATGTCAATATTACTCTGAAATGAAACTCTTTCATCCTGGAATCTTCTGATATCTGCTTCTTAAAAACTTAAGTGTGTATTTTAATTAATTTATGTCACACTGACAGAATAAATTCCCAAATCTTGGATTTTTTCGACTTCACAAATGTCTACAGCATGTAATCTTCAATGTTTCTTGTGATGTTTTTTCCCCATATGAGGTGCAAATAGTACACAACAAAGTCTTGGAGTAGCGTGGCAGTATTGCAAGTTAGCAAGTTGATCAACTCTTACTCAGTGATGAAGAAGCTAGAAAACTTTGGAAAGTGAGGATTTTTTTTTAAGTGGTTAATTAATGTAAACAAACACTCATGTAGAGGCTGACAAAGAATTTCTGGAAGAATGTTAAGCAATAATGTTGTATGATTAATCAATGTTGAATTACTTTAAAAAACTTTTAAAGAAAGCTTTTATTTATTCCCAACTAAATATTATTCATTCCTGATTGATTTTCACTCAGTTTGCATAACAACATAGGCTAATATTTATTTCAAGCAATTTGGGAGGAAAGTGAGTAAGAATTAAAATGTAAAGTCAAGAAGTGCTCTACTCTACCTGTACAGCTGTACCTGAAGTTTTGATATTTTGGCCAGTGCAATTAATTTTAAATTCCCATGTTGTGTGTTTGTTTACTTACAGAGACCACTATAAAACAGAATATGAAAAGAGACTGCATGAAGAGTTGGAGCAAATAAGGTTGAAAACAAATCAAGAAATTGAGCAACTAAGAAGCACTTCAAAAGAGATGTATGAACGTGAAAACAGGTAGATAAGTTGCAGGCAATAACCTAATTAGGGCAAAACTGACAAAATGTTTTGTGCTTAGGTATAATCCCAGTTGACTGGCTCTTTGAGAGGTAATCAAAATGTGAGAATTTAAGTTCAATTATAAAAGTGAGGAGAATCCTGTAAAAACTAAAGTGAAATTATACAGTGAATATATAGTGTTGTAATTGTTATTAAATAATGGACATCCAACATTGTCAATGAAAAGTATTATTAAAATTCATGTTCTAGATAAACATCAGTGGTTTGAAGTTTGTTCAGATGTACGGTGTTAGTTAATTAATACAAAATGTGTTGGTTTACCTGTTATGCTATACAGGCAATCTTGAAACTGCCAGGAAACCAGAAGAAAAAGTGTTGATGCAGAAAGTAAAGCAGAAAAAATGAGGGAAACCAATAAGACTTAGGCCTTCTAAAATAAATCTATTTGAGATTGTTTATGGCATTATGATTCAAAAAAGCATTTATTTCCTGTAAATTATTATAAAATCCTCTTTTGAAGAAGATCCTAGTCCCGCAAAGACCTGCATATCGAATTTTGTATGTGTGTCATCTTGTTGAATTCCGTGGGATTAGATGCAGAATTAGGCACATACATAAGCCTTTAGGGATCTAAGGATTTGGACTTTTGGATTTCTTTTGAGCTTGTTTTTTGCCCTTTTTATCCCTTTAAAATGGGAAGAGTGCTTAATAATTCATTATAACTTCATTGTAGATGTCCTGAAAGTGTCTTGTGTGGAGAAGGAAATGACTGTAGTTAAAAGATATTTGTGGCATCAGCATCTGTTCCTCTAATAGGTAGTTTTGTTACTGCTCAGAAGAGTGAAAAAAGAACATGACTCCTGCTGTCTGTCTTCCAGTCAACTGGAAGGTTCTAATTAAAAAAAATTACATCATTGTGTAGTTTTGCAAGTGTGAGTAAAATATATACACACAGACATATACATCCACACCACTTCCTGTATGCAAATCTATTTTGAATTACAAAGTATGAATTTAAACCTCCACCTTTCATGGAGCTTTGACAAGGGGCTGTGTATCATTGAGAAAGCTGCTGAAAGATATTTCATTTGTATCTGGAACCGATTTACAGAAGTTTTGTTCCTCATTTTGAAATAATTACTTCTGAAATGTAAATCCCTTAGATTTGACTTCATATTTTGCAAAAAAAGGGATTTGTAGCGTATGCTATTTCTGCAAAATACTAAAAAATTCCACCATAAGACAGTGCTTCCCAGTCTGAGGTGCCCCTCATTGGCGAGACAAATGGAACCCCAAATTGTGAGCAAAGCAGTTTGCAATGAATTTGTGTGATGTGGTGAGATGCTGCTTGTGACTGAAAATAAAGCTAAGGTGCTGGTTTCATCTTCAGGCTCAAAGCATAGAATGGTACTACAGCTAAGCTAATCTAATACTCAGTTGCTCTTACTCCTTACCACTTTGCAAAGCCTGATGCTTCCCTTGAATTTATTGGCACTTATTTTACACTTGGCTGAGTCAGTTCAAGAAGCTAAAATGGGGGGTGGGAGGAGGATGGGACAGGCAGTGACAACCAATAAAAAAGTGATGCTTTCATTCTTAATTTATCTGAGATCAGTTTCACTTGTTTGGTTGTAGTAGGCATTGGCTATATTTGTATTAGCAAGCATGAGTGAGTTCACAGGGCATGTGAATGTCTGCATGAGGTTTGACTTTGGATTAGCTGTAGTATGTTCCCATAGATCAAACACAACTTAGTAGTTTTGAGCATGTTAGATGCTCCCCCCGAGCAGATCTTCTGACTTCGTTCAATCTGACTGGAATCCAGTTTGCACGCTCTAGAATAGTTTAGGGCTGTGAACTGAAGTGCAACAAATAGCAGTTGCTAAGAGGTTTACTTCAAAAGCTAATATATGTGCCTCTGTGCTTCCTCTTCCCCTCCCCTGCCCTCATCCCACCTTTTTTCCCCATACCTGTTCATGAATCTGTAGGTAGTATCTCTGTCCTATTTTAGAAGGGTACTTTCACTTGTATGATAGGCTTGCTAGATACCTGATGGTCTGTATGGCCTGTACATGCAGCTGTCAGGTTCTCTACCTCATTTAAAATCTCAGTCACACCATCTGAAAACTGGCAGCATCGCTAGTGTGTTTCCTAGCTCTGTTCAAAATATTTCAACAGAAGGTATGTTGCATCTGTGATTGTCATCTTGTTGGTTGAGTAGTACCTCACTTGTGTCCTTTTTTCTTCTATTGCATTTTCAGTTGATTAGCTGTTCAGTTAGGCAAAATAGTTTATTCTCTAAATGAGTCGCTGTATATTTCCTACCATTTAATTTTTATCCCACTTCTGTTACTTTAGTCTTAACAATACAACATTGTACTCCTACTCTGAGACATAGTATGCTTGATCTTAATGCTGTTAACAAAATTAATTACCATGTTCTTATATTTTGGTATAAGTCAATTTCAAAGAATCTACTCTCAAGATCAGTCCCTGAATTTCATTGGTAAAGTCTGTAGCCCAGTAACTCCATTTTTAAAGAAAATTTTGTTATCTTTCTCTCATAGCCAGTTAACTGTTACATAATTCTGATGCTCATTCTTCATGAGTAACTATTTCCTATTCATATGAACTACTTTGAGTTCAGGAAAGTGCCATTGATAACATTTTCTTAGCCTAGAACATAGTCTTTCATCCAAAATTGATACACCATTAGTGTGGCTAAAATGACCTAGGATAACATTTACATGGGCTTAATAATTTTCTACTTACCTCTATATCTTGACTTTTCTCTTTTCTTCAAAATTTGCCTGAGACCATAATTTCACTTTGCTTTAAGTCAGAAAGTTCCTGTGGGAGAGGGGGGAAGAAACAACTTCAGTGGGAAGAGCTTGGTTGCATCTACATTAACAGTTTAGTTCAGATGAAGAATGTGGTTTTGAAGTGAAACCCCCTAGTCATTGCTGCTTGCCACATTTTTGCTTGCCTAACAGTTTGTGCTTGGATTTGTGGTATTGTGTTCACATTTGTAGCACATGAATGGGATTCCTTTTAGATGAAACGAAATTGAAAGGAGTCTCTAATATATTCCAAATGCTAGTGAGCGTTCAAGTTGCAGGAGCAAACCAGGAGTAGAGTAAAATCCTCGAAAACAGTCATAACATAGGTGTCTGGTCCTCAACAACCACTGTTTGCTTTGCAAATTGGCTGTTACTGTGTTGCACTAAATAGTGGAGATACAGCTTATAAGCACTATCTAAGCAGTACTTCCACTTGGTACAGTTTATTGCAATGTTATGCTACAGGCAGACTACAGATTAACAGACTATTAATACCTGTATAATTTTTAACACAAATACTATATGTATTATTCTTCATATCATACTATTCTCATTTGTGTCAGCGAAATAATAATGAGGTAGTTTGCAAGTGTTGACTGATTCTTGGTTAAAAAAATGAAAAAGTATAGATTGTTTACAATAAAATGTTTGTATTATTTTATGGTTCTGTGCAGATCAAAAATGATGCCAGCAATAGAAGCCAGAAGGAGACACCAATGGTATACAATAACCTATATATCAGAGTAACTATCCAATTAGTTGTATGTGGAAGGAGGATTTTTATGCCTAGCTAATCTGTTCCTGCTCTATCATAGAAGTTGTGAATCATCTCAACTAGGACGACAGCATTTCCCTAGTTATTAGTGAAGTACCAAGCAAAATTATTAGAATTTATTTAATTCCTACAAAAAATAAGTAATTTATAGTTCTAGTATTCTAGAATTATTCATATATTTCTACGTATAAATAGGTGGCTTGATCATTGTTTTTAGAATTTCAGAACTGGAAACTTTGCTGGTATATATGACAGTAATCTGAAGTAAAGCCTCTGTAATGAATAGGCATATAGACAGACAGACCCCTCTATCATTCTATGAGAATTGAAGAAGGTAGTACTGAAGTTAAGATCAGTCAGTAGTAATTCATCAAGCAAAACAGTCTTTTTCCTAACAGATTCTTGACAGAATAACTTTTGTTTCCTTCAGAAATTTGAGAGAAGCGAGAGATAATGCTGTTGCTGAAAAAGAAAGAGCAGTTACTGCTGAAAAGGATGCTTTAAGAAAATATGATCAACTCTTAGAACAGTAAGTATCGTTTAAAATGCATATAAAAAAATTATACCTTTAGATATCTAAGGAGCTTTAGGTAGGAGAAATGACTGCTTTGGCTTTCTGCTTATAAAGAATAAATTGAATTACAAACATTTTATTTACATGAAGTTACAGATTTAATTCTAGTAGTAATTTTTTTTTCCATTACCAGTGCAGTAACAATATGAAAGTTTGATTATTCTTCTACAATCCTGTAAAGAAGAGCAAACATAATTATGCTTCTTGTGATAAGAATGTGGATTTCATACTGTACAGTGGCAGTGGTCAAACTCTGAACCTGTTCTGTTGGGGTTTTTTTCTTTAGTTGAATGTAGAAAATTATCTTGTATGATGACTTCAATTAATAGTTTTTGTGAAGTGTGGACAGAGAGCAGTAGTCACGAACAGTTACGCTTACTACATGCTTCTTTTTGTACTGCTATCTCTTCCCAGTCTTTCATATTCTATGTATAAAATATAGTGTCTGTACAAACGTACAATTCTGTTGATATGGAGAAGGAAACTGGTTGATTTTCTGCCTGGTTACAGTCTTACTATCCTGTTCTACAGCACCTTACCTTCTTCACTTTTTGTAAATTTAGAATATTAGCTATAGTAAATTATGAGGTCATTTAAAACTATGGACAGTAATCAAAGCTATTCAGGGTAAGTTTGTCATGTGTCCTTAATTTTGGACTTGATTAATTGTTTAATCCAAATCTTTTTTCTAAAATGAAAAGTCAGTTCATTAACCAACTGTGCTACCTAGTCATCTACTCAAAGTACTGCATGTGAACTTTTTTTGCTTGGAATTGTTTCTAATTACAAGTAGTAATCTATTAAAATGTTAACTTAAGCATAGGCACAAATTAATTAAAGCTTTTAATTTTTATGTATAACTCCTAAATTGCGGTGGTGATATTACTGAAGAAATAGTGTTGCCTAAGGACTGAAAAAATGTCATTGCTAACTAGTGGTGTGAAACAATAGGGGTAGTTATAGAGTAAACGAGATGGGTCAGAGGACTTGATATCCATGCTGAGTTTCAGGGGTTTGACTTCAGATTAATTCTAGTTCAGGCTGAATGAGCCCAAGGGTGCTAAATGCCTTTTAGTGGTTAGAGTGCATTGTAGATGTTCTTGGATTTTCAAAAGAATTCAGTTAGCGAACTCTGAGATGGTGACTCCACAATGCAAATCAAATGTGGAAATCAAAGCTGTTTAAGTGGGGGCAATCAGGAAACTTGCTTCAAAACTGATCTCCTGAGTCAAAATATAATGCTAATGTGAATCAACCATGTGTTTCTTTCCAATGGGAATCCTATCTTTCACTGTGATAAGACTTACTATGATATGTGGGGAGTTCATATCTAACTGGAAGCTCTTCTGGAAAATAGGTCTGGTGTATGATAATTTTGAGTATACGCTTTCTTGTTTTTAATGAAAATGTCAACTTTATAGTTCTTAACACATTTATTTTTAAGCTTAAGAACCATGGAGAAAATATTTTTTCTGTTCTGCTGTATTCCCACTCATATAATGTGTCATTTTTTTTTTGTATTGTTGCTTTTTTTTGAGGAGGGAAGTTCCCCTGCAATCAGAAATATAGGAAGATTTTTAAAATGTAAGCTTTAGATGGGGAAAAAAAGAAAGTTAGTAATATGCCATTTGTTGTCATCTTGTTTAACACACTCATGCTTCTGTCCACCAGTAGGTTTCTCTAGTGATAAGCTCTCCAATTAAGTAAAACTCTCTTTTCCTTGATTTAAATAAGTTAATAAGTTGATTAATACTAGTTTTTGGAGTTCATAGTAGTAGATTATTCCTCAGAAGATTATGCTTTTTCGGAGAAAAAACTTCTGCTTGGGAAAATGGAAAATCCATACTTCCCTTCATTAAAATGTAGGGATGTCTCTTTAAAACTGCTTCACTTGTAACCACTGTACAGGTGTCAAGACTGATTTTTATTTTTTTTCCACATTTCAAATCATTTACCTAAATGAACTGCGAAGTAACAAACTGGCATGATGAATAAATGCCTTAATTTAAAAGACCCCAAATTCTGAATTTACTGTTCACTGACATGTGGCAGTTCTGTGGAACAAAGAAATTTTCTAATATCACTAGAAACCCAAAAGATAAAGGAATACCTGTGCTGTCCAATTCTATATTTAAGTGATTATAACAGCTAGCTCTACTTTAGTGAAAACAAGGTGACTCATCGTAGTTACCACTGGTATCATAATCTGTATAAACAAACATGTTTGAAAGCTTCAGAAGTATGTGGAATGTTGACTGGCCTGAATGGTGGTTAAATAAAGCCCCTGGCAAATCTTGTGATCAGAAGTGTAACTAATACCCAATTTTCTAGTCAAGTGCAATTATTTTCATTTTTCTTACTGATGTTTGTGATAGCTTTTTGTAAACAGCTGTTTACAGATGTCAAGAAAATACCGCAGTGATAATATTCAGGAAAGAGTTATGAGAAAGAATCTGCTGTTTCAACCTCAAAGTAGATCACCGTGATGTCAGGATGTGAGTTTTGTTGCTCTCTTTGCTATTACATAGCTGTAAATTCTGTGTGAGAATCCATGTTTCGTTTACCTGTGACAATGAGAAAACTTAACTGATTCTATATTTTGCATTAAACTATGGTCAATGTCACACACGTTCTAAAAAAAAATATGACCAGATGGAAACATTTTCACTTTGTTTTAAACTGCTGGTAATGTGACTAAGACTTTTTTCTAATTTTAAAGCTATTTTACCTCAATTGAAAGTGTCTATGAGTTGAATGAGGAGAGCAGTTCTGTAAGAGGTCTATCGTCCACTACATAGTAAAGTGTAGATACTAACTATGTTCCAACTTTTCCTTCTCTTGAATAGTCCTGGAGTCTTATTTTCAAACTATTGACTGTTAATCTGTTACCCACTTCTCCTTGCTGAAAAAATCCAACCCAACAAAACAACAAAAAAACCCAGCACCAAAAAGTAGAACAAATGCATCCTGGTTTCCTATTGCTTTTTTCCAACTGGTTAAATTTTCTAGTTTCATAAAAGGTGCAACATCAAACTGAAATGGTTCCTTTGTTCAGAGTGGACTCTAAGGTCTAATATGGGGTGAACTCATACAAGAGCACTTCACCTCAGGGGATTCCTACAAGAGCCATCTCCTGCCTTTGATTGTTCACTTCCTTTAAACTTTAAGGAGTATAATGTAATTTTCGAGGACCATACAGCGCAGCTTTATCAACGGAAACTGGTTTAAAAATTCCAGAATTACTGGGAACACAAGGGAAATCCATAGATAGTTTGATTTTACAAAATCTTGTTTTTCTTAGTGACAAAAAAACCTGTACTCTGTTACAGTTGATTGCTGCTCAAATGATGTACTTAAGGTGATTTTTCTTTTCCTGTCTTTGTAATGATAAAATGAGAAGTGTAGAAAAAACGAAGAGAAACAAAATAGGTGTGGAGTAAACAGAAAAAGAATATCCAAGAAAATTGTGTTATGGCAATACTATTCCTCCAACTTTGCACTGGGCACTATTTATAAAAAAAAAAAATCAGTTTTTTAAAAGCTAATGGGAGGTTTAAATTCCTGCCTCTGTCTATGAGGTAATAGGATATTTTTAAGTATGTACCTTTTTTTTTCTTATTTGAATATGCACAGATGATGAAAGAGCATTTTTAAACAACGTTATTTTATAGTTGGGTTGAGTAAAGTCAGGATGATGGCTATAAAAAATAGTTTAGAGCCTTAGGTTTTTCTATAAACATTTCAAAGGATTTTGGATTATCATTTAAACCTTTCTGGATTGATGTATATAGCTCAGCTATTTAAAACTCTGAGATTTTTAATGGACAATCTGCTACAGGTAAAAATACCTTTAGGAGTATTTTTAGTGTTTCTATTTAGAAATGCCTTTCTCAAATAAAAAGCAAAATAGAATAAGTCATTGACATTTCTTGATAGCAGTTGTCTATGCTTTGTAGGTTAAAAAAAGTGTGCAAAAAGTTCTCTGTGTGTTTGTGTTTACCTATTTAATGCCTTTCTTTCCAGTCAGCTGCAAGCTGTGTATACATTTTGGAGACTTCTTTTAGTCTATCCATTTATCTTTATAATTTGAGTCTTTTTTTTACCCCTGTTTTCTTTGTTCTTTGTAATTATGGTACTTTTTAGAATTTATTTGGAGGTGAGATAAATGCTATCTGATTTTAGTCATCTCTTTTAAACTTTGTAGGTGATGGAAAGAGGTGATCAATCCTGTTCATAAAATGTGTGTTTAAATTAGATGAAATTAAGATCCCTATATCTTCTAATTAATTGCAGACAAGCCTAGAGGACTATCTTAGATGAGAAGATAATTGGATAAATTTACTGAATAAATAAATGTTCTACTTTGCATTTAGAATCTCTGCTGAGTATGCAGGAATCTTATTAGTATTTATTACATTATACATTAATTGTTAATGGAAACATTAAAATTAATTATTTGTCCCTTCTATTAACATGTGTCTATAATCCGGATGTTGCTGACTGCAGTGACAGAATTCTGCTCTTAAAATGATTAAGTCAGTGTATTTGTGTGCTGGACTTACTGCTAATATTTAAATAAGGGCCTGTTATCTCTTCAAGAATATTTGTATAAAATGAGGATTTAAATAATGAATAATAAAAAAAAAAACATGCTGAAAACTTCTGGCCAAAATATTTCTTTGCCAAAGTTGCCATAACCCTATATTAAAAACTACTGTTATAGCCCTTTACTCCTTGCTACTTTTGTATATGAAGCACTTTGTAATCCCTTGAAGAGCTATGTAGGTCTTGAAAATTACTACCACTTTAAATCTTCAGTTTAAATTAACTTCATTAGTGTTTTCTAAAATACTTTTTTTGGTAATAATAATTTGCTGCTTCTGTATTCATTTACGACTTCTATAGTATGATGTGTACATGTAATTTTGATAACTCTTAGGATTTCTGTCAAAATA